AAGCAACGAAAGACAACACGAATCTCAGAAAAAAACAAAAACAAAACACAAAACACAAGTTAATATTACAAGTTAATTGTATTACACAATACAAGTTAATATTATAGCTCACATTGGCTCTTTGTTTTCTATTCCTCCCTCTTCTCTCCCAACTGGAAGTCATCAGCAATGACTCACTCAGCTATACATTTGACTTTGGACTTGTGTTGACAAGAGAGTTATCACTAGCCCAGTGACAGAGGACAGACATTTCAGTCAAAGCCCATCATGTCACATCACTTCTTTAGAAGCATGCCCCTCTATTGGTTACCCAATAATACAATTCTTAGATTTCCTCTGTTTTTACAAAAAGCAAACATCATGAATGTTAGAATATCTGGAGACAAAATGATCAGTTTATTTTTCAAAGTTGAAAATTGCCGTTTTTATCCTCTCTTTGGGTAGTTTCTGGGTAAAGGGAATCGTATGGTTGCTAAATTCATTTTCAAGTTATTTAAGCATGCCAAGTTATTTTAAAACATGGGGGAGTGAGACACTTTAAGATTCAGAAAGTACCAAAAACTTTTACTAGTGTTGCATTGAAGGCACATATACAGTATGGATGGATTGTGTACGTGCTACAAAAAGACATTCTCTAGATGCATCTGGTGTTCAAGGATAAGGATTTCAACAACAGAGAGGTATGAGGTGATATAAGCAGAGGACCCCACCGTTTTGCATTGGTTAGATTTTTAGAATAAAAAATCTAAACCTGCATAATGTTCCATGCCCTGTGGTATACTGTTTCTTTTGGGGGATGGTTACTATTTGATTCTTTGCAATCACCCTTTAGTGCTCTGTTGACAAATATCTGGACTTGTGCGTTAAGTCCAGTATACACTCATCAATTAACTTGTGTTGTTTTCTCTAATTTTGTGAAGATACAATGTTTGAGAAAAGGTCCTAAAGATTTCAGAGTCTCTCTCCTCAACTTCTTATTTTATCAATGAGGAAATAATGGCACCTTTGAAGCCGTTTAATAGATTGAATATGGTTAGATCAAAAATGAATTGCTCTCACATGTTTTCCTATTGAAAAGTAAATTTCTCTAACATGCGAGCTCCATGAAGGCAAGGTCTAAATTGTATCCCAAGTATCATATATGACATATGGTAGGTACAGAGTAAATGTGAATGAATAAATGAAACTAAGACATAGTGACCTTCCAAAGTCCCAAAGAGCTAGTGAAAGAACCCAACCGTCTTGAATACTAGCACATGTTAAACGTTCTTATTTCCAGGACTTTTGGATTGGAACATAGGAAAGTAGTTGTGTGCCCACGTAAGCTCCTTGCACTTTATAAGCTTGTGCTTCATATTCTAGCCTACTAATGAAGCTGTAGTACTTATTTTCTCAATAATAGTTGAAGTTCAAAGTAAATCCTTCAGGAAATTATCCTTATAAAAAGTTTTCCCAATAAAAAACTGTCACAGTTTAAAGCCAATATGGCAAGCTATTATTTTATTTTATTTTTTCTTGTGAAGATGTTATTTCTTGTAAAGAAATTTTAGGACAAGAAATAACATCACATCACGATCCATTATTACCTGAAATATAGTATGTACAGGTCAAGCCATTACTTCAAAACAAAATTTGTGCACACAGCCTTTGGAAAGGAAATGTAGTCTGTTCTGTGAATACAGCTTTCTAAAGATAATCCACTGCACCGGGGTTTCAAGAATAATATAGTAAGAGAATTTTCTTTGGTTCTATTACCTAAATATATTTGGAACTTTCTGTTTGAATATTCTGGAACAAAATTTGTGGGTCTAATTGACTTAACAGTACCTCTAAATTTTCATTTTATACCTTTTAATGACCTCTCATTTCTATGTACATAGATTCTAGCCATCTTTCTGCAAAAAACTATTAGTAGCACCAAATTGCCTCACCGACTGTCAGTAAAACAATCTATTTATTCCCTTTCACTTGCTCCTTTTTCTCCCCAGGGAAGAAAATTCTCTGACCTACCTTGGCTGATTGTAGGTGATAAGACCTTCATTTCAGGAGAGGTCCCACCCCATCCCCAGGAGGGAAGAATGCTGCACAGACAGGCCTTGCTGCGTTTCCCCACTCAGCCTGTTAGTGTTGGATCATACCCTTTTTGTCCAATCACATTTGCACATAATTGTCCATGCTTCAATCATGCCTATCCAATGACGCTTCCACAAAAACCAGAGAGCACAGGGTTTGGAGACCTTCTGGACTGCTCAACTCATCTGTGCGCTGGGAGGGTTGTGTACCCCGTCTCCATCGGAACGGAAGCTCCTGTGCTTGGGACTCTTCCAGACCTCACCCTATGTACCTATTCATCTAGCTGTTTCTTTGTATCCTTTAAAATATTGTTTGTAATAAACCAGTTGACCTAAGTGTTTTCCTGAGTTCTGTGAGTTGCTCTGGCAAACTAATTGAAGCCAAGGAGGGGGTTGTGGGAACCCCGATTTATAGCTTGCTGTCAGAAGTTCCAGAGGCCTGGGCTTACAACTGGCATCTGAAGTGGGGGGCAGTCTTGGGGACTGAGCCCTCCACCTGTAGGATCTGACACTATCTCCAGGTAGATTGTGTCAGAATTAAATTGGAAGACACCCAGCTGGTGTCTGCAGGAGAATTTCTGGCTTGTTCCCTGGTAGGGAGAAGTCCCCACAGAAATCGGTCTTCTGTGCTGCTTGTTGTACTGTGAGAGTAGAAGAAAAACAAACAGTTTTTGTTTTGCCCTGAATCAGGGACTCTGTTCCTTCTATCTTAAAGAAAAATCCCAAGTAAAATAAACAACATAAAAAGTCATAAATCTACTAGTCTAAAAAAACACAAAACTCATTCAACTACAATGTTTCTTTTTAAATAGAGTTTCTTGAAATGGTAATATTCAGGAGTAAATATTAATACATATTTGAGAACTTTTCCTTTATTTAAAATGAAAAAAGAATATCAATATAGAATGTAATTTTTGCCTTTCTCTGAATAAACATATTAAGAACTAAAAAAAAACAGAGTTTTGATCATTCAGTCTTTTTCCCCTCAATAACATTCTAAGAAAAAGAATTTATAATTCATAATTCCTTAAAAGCTGGAAAATAAGATAAAGAGGGAGGGATAGAAGGAAAGAGAATAAGAGACTTTCCAGTGCCTGGGCCTGCTATTTTCATTCTGAAAAGTTAATGAACAAGTTAAATTTTCTAGCAATGCAATGTTGCAGAGATGAATTGCAAGAAACTAGAAGCAGGAGTGTTTGTATTTGCTTGCTGCAAACATTGCTTGTAATGGAAGAGTACAGGCTGTGATATTTGTGTACATACATAAATCAGTTGAAAAAGCCAATTTTACAATCCAGAAATTCCCTCTTCAGGAGGATAGTAAATCCATATTCAAATACACTCAGCATCTGGGGTCATTCAATAATGCCTTATTCACATTTCAGAAGAAAACATTCATCCTTTGCTGAAGTGTGCTTTTAAAGGATATGAGCATGCAAACACAAAATAGCTTATATATCAATTTCCATGTTCTGTCCTGGAGGAAAGAAGTGAAGGGAGTGAAAATTCTAATAATAATGAGTCATTAAACAAGAGAACGTGCAATATGATTTCTAAATCTCATCCACTAATGACTTATAATAATTGTAAAAAAATCAACTTGACATTGACTTGGCAATCTCTTAATTTGAGTGGTGCATGTGTAAAACATTCAGTGTTCTTGCAAATAAAAATGTATTTTCAGGGTTATGTTAATATTTGATTATTTTCCTTTATCTAATTTTTTCTGCTAGGTTCCGTTATTTTCTCCATTCTAATTTTATATTTGTTTCACTAGTTCTTATCCAATATAATGCCTAAAAACATAAGAGAATTACATTTTAGAGAAATTTCACTAGCTGCAAAGGATAAATTCGTTTGATAAAGGCAAATCTGGTTAAAGTCACAAAATATGACTTCACCATAGATTTCTGCAATATGATGAGGAATTGTACATGGAGTGAAGCAATCACCACTGGTACTAAGTTTGATCCACTGCACATGCTGTATTACTACTTTCTTATCATGAACCAGTAATGAAGGCATTAACACTCTCAATACTTACATGTAGAAACAGGTTTGCTGAGGCTGCAAACTTCACTAAGACCACATGCAGTTATTCAAAGGGAAAGCTAGGATTAAAACCCAGAGTATGACTGTCTCTGAGTCTCATGTAATTTCTCTGCTGTCTCCCAGAGTTTACAAACCTTGTAGGCCAATCTCCTCACTTGAGAAGTAAGTAAACTAGGGCCCAGGGATAGGAAAATGCTTTCCCAGAGTGCACATAACGAGGTTAGGACAGAGTCAAGCCAGACCAACCCTCATTGGTGGCTTTGGCTCATTTTAAACCCTGAGACACATTTGCAGTAACGAAGTGTTTCTAGAAAACTGATTTTAGGGATTAGCGTACGTATCCTCAGCTATACTCTGCCTAATATAAGCTCTAAGTCATAGAAACTTCCCAGGCCAGGAAAACATTAATCACTAAGTAACATTGCTTCATAAATATAACCTTATTGACTTCAAGAATGGCTTTCAATGGCTATTTTTTATAAAGGAAGGGATGATAATGAAATATTCTGTTCTAATAAATATGTCAGGAAACAGAGTCTTTCTTTATTCCATCTCTTTCCATAGTCCTGTCCAGCACAGTACTAGAGTTATGTCCTATACTGGTGAATATGGTAAAAGAGACATCACTGTTTCCTGATGGAATAGCCTTCAACCATCATAACATTTATAAAATCAAGTGTACTGGAAGTAAACAACCCTTTATTTAATTTATTCAAGTCTAGTGGGAGAGGATGTGGGATCAATGCCACTCACTGTGTTGTTCCAGAACATTTCTTCCCATGGAAGCTACCAGTCTGTACTAAAGTTGGTGGCTGGATGAGCAGAAGTTACATATGAATAATAGTAAATGAAGTAGTGAACACTTGTCTGACTTACCCGTGAATTAACCACTTCCAGGGAGACATTCTGAGGCGGGGCACTTGGCACTAAAAAAAGAAATTGAATGAGTTGTTATAATTACTGCCAATGTCTTGAAAGGGAAACTCCCAACACTTTTAAAAAGAGAAAGTGTGTCTTTTTCACAGTTCATAATGATAATTAGGTAGGCTAACCCAGGTGTCACTTTAAACTTTTCTAGAGAGATGAAAAATAACTGCATCTGTTTATTTTTTCTCACTTGGTGGGCCAGTTAGTGTTCCATCCAGGGAGTCCCCCAAACTCTCAGGCAACAGAAGACCTGCCGTGACACCAAATACTGCCATTTAATTACAGCTTTCTTGTGATAATCTTCCCAGAGAAACCAATAAAAACACACAGGAGATTTCCTCAAGTGGTTTTAAAGGCTTAAGTTATTGTGCATTTCAGGATCTGCATGGTTTTATGATGAAATATGTCATTCTAATGGTCATGCAGGTTGCTTAATCTCTTTAATGAAATCTTTATTATCTCCTAAGAGGTGAAAAGAAGAAATATTTTCCATTTTTTTAGCTGCATATAATTAAACCTGTGTGTCATAGATGCAAGCAGGTTACCAAATAGCATTTAGCAAGTCAATTTTATTAACAAAGGAGCAGTTTGTTTTTCTTTGTAGATTTTCTAGGAATTTTGTTTCTCTTTCATGATTTTTCATTTTCCCACTTCTTTATGGAAGGATGAAGAACATATATAGTTCTCTTTTTAACAGCTGTAATGAATATTTACTATATCAAAAAAGTGAATATTCTATCATGTGAGTAATTCAAAGTAATTCATTGAATGGCTGTTATGTGTCAGGAACTATTCTAGGTGTCTGGGATGAATCAAGAATAAAATAAAACTTCCTGCTTCACAGTAAGAATAGAAGCAGCATTCGGTAAATTTTTAACACATCTTAAATTCTAATATGAGTAGTTCCTATCCTTATTTATGAAAAATAAATGAGTTTAATAGAGAAGAAATTTTCTCAGGCATTTTCAAAATTCTAAGGGCCATTTTTTGTCATGTTTCCATTTTTTTTACTTGAACTTGAAAAATATCTATATTTTTCTGCAGGATCCTTATATGTTTTCCAGAATTTATTTATGCCCTACTCTGCTTTTACTTTCTGAATAATCATCATCAGGAAGGCATGATATATCTGATTAATTTTTATATCCTCAAAATTTACAATCAAATAATACTTACTGAATCAACGATTGTATGGACAAATGGATATTTACTTAAATATCACGTCCTGGACCTTTCCTGGACATGATGGCAATTGCAATCACTTTTTATGTTTTGATTTTGAACTTCTTGTCTTAGTGCTTGATAACGATTGTAGCCAATGTAGCGTGTGATAAAATGCTCACCTGAGGCTTGTTTGTCATGAATTAAGTAAACATGTATTTTTCAAAAATATCTCATAATTTAAGAAATATTTCAGTATTTAAATTTTTAAAGTTCATACTATGGTTTTTAAATTAAATACAGATTGAAACTCCCATAGGGCTAAGGATTTTTGTCTGTTTTGATGTTGAATCTCCAGCATTGAGAAGAGTATCAGGATCATGGTGCACGATCCAAAAATAGCTGTTGAATGAATTAATTAATTAATAGAAAGCTTATAAGGTATAATAAAAATGCTTTCCTGTTGAGGGTTTTGGTCACGAGTTTTGTTTTGTTTTGCAATTTTATTTTTTAAATTGAAGTATGAATTGAATTTACTATTTATTTATTTATTTTTATTTAATTTATTGAATTATAAACATAATTATTAAGGTATAAATTAGAATTTTATTTTTTAAGTTGAGGCATAAAATGTTCTACATCATACCATATCACAGAGTTTTGAAAAATGTTATCTTTTAAAAGCAAGTTTGGAAATGATATCTTAAGTAATGATAAATTGCTTCTTAAACATGGAAAAATATTTTAGATTATATTTAACATGATAATGCAACATTTATTTGTCATGTTATGTGTTGCTAGTAATATACACTCATTTTTTGAGCAATTAAGTAATATTAAAACATAATTTCAGTAACACTACTAAACTTATGATAAGTGACTGAATTTTGGAAGAAGGAGAGGGTAACTTAGATTTTCATGTGTTTGGTTCTGGGTACTGTGCTAGCTGATATGTAACTTTCAAATGTCATTTTAAGTCTATAAATGGTATTTAACTCCTCATTTCCAGAAAGCCAAAAATACACTAAGAGAAAGGATATATATGTGTTCTTCTACCACCCTTTTAGAAGCATCTGGATTATGTTCTGTATTAGGAATTGAAAGCCACTTTAATAAGATCTTAAAGGTCCTTATAACAATGACATTGCTGTACTTTGTCTTTTTTTTTTATGATATAAATTTCTATTATTTTCCATTAATAACATACTAGCTATTCTTGCCATGTCAGAAAGGAAAGCAGAGTATAGCATTTTTAGTTATCAATCGCTCTGCCCTCCTACTCACTAACCATTTCCATAATATTTAGAGATAAATAGATACAATGGATAGTATTAGATGCATGGTGGGACTGAGGGGAATCCACATTTACCTGGGCTTTTCTTTCTTTCCGAGATGTCTCATTGTCTTATGAGGCAGAGGGGGAAGGACAGTTTGCTCTTTAAAATGTCAAGTAATTTGTCATTTACAATAGGTCTATTAAAGTCAATCAGAGGGGGGTCTGAAAATTGCCTTCAATATGGTAGAGCAAGCTGGTTAGAAAAACATGGTGATGGGGCATTCTGAAGGGCAGACCAGGTTCCCACATTGTAAATGAATCCCCGTAAGTGCGAACCCTTGAATTCCTCCCCTTAGCAAACAGGTGCTGTCATGTACACACAATTTATGGAACAAAATAATTCAAATTTAATTATGAGCTTTTATTCTTTAAGGAACTAATATGGGAAATTCATCATAGACTAAGAGAAACATGTTTCCACTCAGTAGCTTATGTGGCCTAGCTCTGCAGCTTACTAGTCTTTGTGACCTCTTTCTAACTTAGATTTGTTGTCTGTAAAGTAGGGAAAATTACAGTATTGTGAGGACAAAAGATTAATGCAAAGTACTTATATCAGAGCCTTGTACTTGTAAGTACTCAATAAATATTAGTGATAACAGTGTTAACAGTATTACTATAGCACATTCTTATAGTATGTTACCTATATAATTGGGCCCTTTTGCTTCTGGACACAGCAAGCTGGCATGGACACTCATAATTTTAAATTCAGTCATAAAAGCTGTTTATGACTTCTGCATGTCAGCTAGTTCAAGATACTGTTTTGGAACAAACTGAGAAACTAGTTATATGACCTTATGTTCCACAGTCTCAAAGATTTGAAGAAGTAGGTCATTGTAAAGCAATGGTTCACTGGGTGAAGGAATTTGAATAAGAAATGATGTTTCTAACCAGAAAAACAACTAAAGCAGAACTAAATTAGAAATGACAGCTTATCTCGATAAAAATCTTTATAAGCATCTTAGCAGAACAGGAAAACCATTGGGATAATTCAGAAAAAATATGTACATTTAATTGTTTTTTTTCTATTTTTCTCTGCCCCAATATAAATTTTTATGATAAAAATTCCTCTAACATGATGAGAAATATCATGTTCTCTACAACACAGATGCATTTAGAAACAGTCATATATTACATGAGACTTACAAATGGGAAACTCTAAAAATAAGTCTTTACAAACACTTGTAGAGTTTTAGCTGAACTGTCTGATTAATTCAATAAATATTTACTGGGTTTTAGGGATACAGAGATGAGTATAACATCATCCCTCAAATTTAAGATCATGTAATATAATGAGAAAAATATATTGGCAGAGATAACATTTATTAAACACATAGATGTATGTCTTATGCTGTTTTAGGTGTTTATGTGAAATATCTCATTTCACTCTCACGACATCCACCTTTAACAACATCCAAAAAGTCAATGGAGAAGAGTACTCTGTGACTGAGGACTGGGAAGTAGGTGACTATTAAATGTGATTAAAAGCATCTAAATGTGATGTGTGACCTCAGCATGAACGGCTTCAGTAGGGAGGAGAAGCTATCAGGTTGAAGTAGACAGAAAGGGGCTGGGTAATAAGGAAATGAAAGACAATAGTATAGAGTTTTTGTTGGAAAGTAAAAGAGATGAGTTGATTGTAAAGACGAAGTCCCTGCTTTCTGCAATCAAATGCATCCGATAGAAGGAATTGCTGTCCTTTGCACAGTGTTTATTGGGGTTAGGGTCACAAAATCCTTTTTTCTCATGACAGACATTTTCTAAGTCCTAAACATTGCAACACTTTCAAAAGGTAATTCTTGGGCTAATGAGTAATAATCTATCTTTCTCACTTATGACATTTAAAAGCAAAGTGAAGAATAAGGCCACAGTATTACAGTCCAGAGCGTGAATGAAATCTACATAAATTATGTAAAATATTCATTTTCATTTTTTTCTTTTATTTTTATAATTATAAGTTGTGAAGTAATTTATTCTGCCAATAAATATTCTGTTCTGTCTTCAATAGCAGAATTGGATGGATGAATGTAAGATTAACAGTAAAAATAATACTGAAGTGGTGTTACATATAAAATACATTTTTTAAGTCAAAATTGCAAATGAGCATCACTCCTGTGTCCTCTTTGCAGTGTCTTTCATAATATGCATGTCCTTCCTCATTCCACTGACATTGTTGGAAATATCCACAAAGATAGCTTCCCAGATTGAGGAATGATAGATGGGTCACAAAATCACAAACTAAAGTCATTTTTTTAATTCAAAAGATCAATAATTTCTAGCATTAAACACACCAACATGAAAACCATTGCTAAAAGGACCTAGCTCATTGCCTTTTCAATATTCATGGGGGTTATCTCTGCATTTCTGTACCTGCCTGCGTTTTCACTGGTCCCACCTAATATACACTGCTCTACTTTATTTTCACTTTATATTAAATTTTCCAACTTTTGATTATCAACTATTCCATAGATCTCTAGTTTCCCTTGCCTCTGAATTGTCAAATTAATTATCTTCATTAATAGTTCTTTCTCTCTCTTATGGCATTTTAGGAAAAGAGGCAAAGTACAACAAAAAGTATACATTTTTGTGTTCAGTTTTAATATTTTCAATGCTAGATTATTTGCCCCAAGTCCTTATGATATATTTTCAAGTTAAGAAGCATATATAGGTGGATTGTATATCACCTACGCTTTTAATCATCTGTGCCCTTTTAGGATGAAAAATAGAAGAAAGATGTCAGTCTAAATTATTCCACACACATGAACAAATGTGTTTGTGTTATAGTATTTATAGAAATAAAGAAACATTCACAGAAAAATAATGCATACTGACTCAGAGTATGCTCGTATATGAGTACCTTGATAGAAAGTTTAAATTTGACTATAATTGATAGTGTGAATAAATTAGCCAAATTTCTAATTTATGCTAATATATTATATAAATTTTTAATCGGGGAGCCTTGAAAATTAAATCCATGACATGCACACAATAGTATTTCATCACTATATAACAAATATGTGAATGAAGATTTATTGTCTAGAACTTACCATCAGAAAGTGTAACCACTGTTATATCATCAGTAGATACTCCTGGCCCATAGCGATTATAAGCTAAGAATCGAAGAGTATACTCCGTGAATTTTTTCAGGCCTTCCAGTTTATAAGATAGTCCATCAAGCTCTATATTCTGGAGATATAAAACACCACAACTGTTATTAAGGACGCACATTAAAGCAGAAATGACAGCCATTCTGTTCAATCGGTGAATGGATATTACACTCTTACTCACTAAACCACACTCTACTGCTCTCTAGACTTATAATGAGTTGTTGTAAAACCTCACTTATGACACAGACTCCCCCACTAATGTCCAAACTACTCTGCAGACTCCTTGTTAAGACAGCACCAAGCTATTTTTGCAGTCATTAAGTTCCAATTTGTTTAACACCACCCAATATATTGAACCGTCTGGGTTATTCCACCCACTCCAAAATCCTGGCAAGCTGAAGGGAGGTAGTGAGTGCATGGGAACAGAGGCCTGCTCCTGCATCCCAAATAGAATAATTCACCAAGAAACAACAGATTTTGTCCTTCACTTGCTGAAATATACCCACATATCTTGAAACTGTCAGATACTTTGCCTGATACTTTGTCAGATACATTTTTGTCTCCCAAAGTGCTGTGAGGAAGATGGCAACTATTTTTGGTACTTCACAGCTGCAGTAAATGAGGTACTGAAGGTGAAGGTCATTGAGAAAATCAGAGCCAGTTTCCTCTAGAAGACCCATCATTTAGCTCTGCAAGATGATCCCCACACTCACATCTATCTTGGCTGATACTGTTTTTAAATTTATTTAAGTGGGTTGGTGAAATGCATTATTGAAGAGCTAAAATACATAAAAAGTGGGAAGAATAGAAAGTTGAAAAATAAGAGCTAAAAATAGCATGGGGAAAGCTAGTGTAAAAACACATACATTAAAAAGAATGATTACATAGATTACATAGGAGGAGCTCTTGTAATGTTTAACTTATGACTTGGAACTGGATATGAACTTTTTCCCAATAGGACTGTGGCAAAATTATTTTAAAATAAAATCCCTGACCATGCAGTTTATATGAAAACATGAATACCATTCTATGCTTGGAAACCTTCACAACACATAGTAAGATCTCCCAAAGCCTGAGGCCACATTCCTATTTAACTGTACACTTGTGTATACATCTTTTCTTCCATGAAGTTGAGAATCCGAAGTAAACATCTCAATAGTCATATGTATATGTCACAAAACAGAACTGCTGAGCTTCACGTGTCTCCCTAACAACATATTCTCTCTCTCTTAACCTGAACAACTAACTTGCTTCTTTTTAGGTGTCTGTGCTAATCACAGATAGGAAGCAAAATGTAAGAAGGAGGGTAGGGTTCTAAAAGTAAGTTCTACTAAAAACAATGAAAAATAATAAATCACACAGGTGGGGAGAGGACAGAAATGATATCAAATATATAAGAATGAAAAGGGCAGTTTGGCCAAGGCCATTGAATATGTGAACAATTACCCCTTTGGATAAGGAGTGAAAATGCAAATAGCTTCCAGGACTAGGAGGGTTAATACAACTGTGGTTACCCACACTGGTCCAGGTCACTCATTGTTGACTTCACTTCATTGCCCACTTGCTTCTTTCACTACCAGAATTCAATTAAATTGTTTAATGTTTTCAGTAACAAGGGCTTTAAAACTAATCAACTATCCAACGAATGTGTAAACACTGAACTGCAGTAGGAGCTTGCAGATCTCCTCCTATTTCTCTAGCCCTGGAGGCATCCAGTAGATGGAAGCGGTCTGGCCCATTCCCTTTACCTACCTGTTCTTTTCCCGTGGACACCTCAGTGCAGAACAATCTGTAACCTTGGACTGGACCATTTGCATAGGCAGGAGGTTCCCAGGTAATAAGAATTGAGGTAGGTGAGGTAGATACAGCTTGCAGGTTTTCTACTGGCCCTGGAACTTGCACTGCATACAAAAGAAATTGGTTAGAATAAAAAAGTTTCCTTTCTCAAAACAAACAAAATTACATCTTTTACGGTTCAAGGAAATTAGAGAAGCATGTAGTATTTTTTACAACCATATGATATAACAATACAGAAACACAAAATATAAATGTAAAATAATGAAACTTTAGAATCCCTTAATTTTAAAATTCAGAAAAAAGTTTATATTAATCAAAATTATTTATCGCATTTTACCATTGAGGAAACTGGTCAAAAGTATAAGTGACTAGAATAATGGCAGAAAAAGTGTGGGATTCTGAATCTACATTCTTAGTCTAGAACATTTTCCACAATGCCAGTATTCCTTAGCCTGTGTATTGCTAATAACTGCAGAAGGAAAGCAGAAACTATATTAGAGAACATTATTTCTATATTACATTATGGTTCTAATTATAATACAAATGGGCAGCAGTGCTATGGATCGTTTACCACATTGTCTTTATTTAAGTCAGCATTTCACAATCTTGCCCGTTTCTCGGACCTTTAAATAAATTTTAGAATTTCATTTTCACTTTAACTTTCTAATATTCTATTTTCTCTCATTACTATTACTTTACTTAATCAAGGATAAGTAACTTGCTTATTCATAACATTCTAGAGAGGACAAGACCACAATAGCTTTACCAAAACACTTGTGCCCAGGTGTGTTTTGAAACAGAAATATTCATATTTTACAAAGGGAACATAGTGTATATGCAGTGTTTCATGTAACACTTCTAGCGGGGTTTGTGAGAGCACCCTGTTATCAAATGAAATCATATATTTGCAACAAAACATGATATACACACTTCATAAGACTATTAAAAACTAAGAATAGCCTAGCATAAGATCAGGTCAGGTTTGCATGTAAAGTGACTTAAGAAAAACCTTTAGTTTTACTCTTTGTAAATTTTGAATTTGTCTATAATTGTGTATTTCCGCATATGTACCTGAATACAAATACATGGTTTGTAAACGGCAAATGCAATAGCTATGTTTTACTTAAAACTGCTGTCTGCATATTTTTCTCAGTTTTGGATATCACCTAGCATTGTATGTCTTATATACAATTCTGTGCAAATACAGAAAACAATTCCATAGGAAAAATGTCTTGGGAAAAAATGGCTGGCAAGACAGCTGAGGGCACACTTCTTAGATCAGCATGGAACCTAGTAGCACATCTCTGGATTATGTTTTAGAATTTGTCCATGGACTCCAGCCACCTTAAGCCATCACCGCTCACATATTCATTTGGAAAAAATATACATATTTATGTCAGAACCATATATTTTGTGCCACCTTTACATATTTCCCACCAGTCACAAAATCTTGAGAATCCCTGTTCTTGACAATTGTGTTCTTTTGGCCTTAACAAGTGATCTTTTTTCCCCCTTTTTAATGTTTGTATAAAGAAACTTATTTGAAAGTAATAAGTTATAAGAATGAGAATTTTTTATCCAGCTTTATCCATTGTCAACACTTTTATATATATACATATACATATATGTACATATACATATATATATATACTCATATATAGGAAGGTACTTCAAAAAGTTTGCAGGAAAATAGAACCAAAAGATACCATGAACTTTTTAAAGTACCCTCGTATATCTTAATCTCTCTCTCTCTCTCTGTATACATATACAGTCTCTCAGAGAGAGATAGACAGAGACAGAGAAACTGAGAGAATGCATATTAATCTTCACATATTACGGCTCTTTACCCTTAAATATTATAGTGTATATTTCCTAAGAAATAGTACAGTTATCAAATTCAGTGAATTTAATACTAATACAATACTTTTATCTAATCTTCATCTGCATTCTAACTGTCTCAACTGACCAATAATATTGTTTATGTAGCATTTTTCCTGCCAATTCAGGATCCAGGCTAGGGTCAGGTCTCATTGCCATGTCTCTTTAGGCTGCTGTGAGCTGGAAATGTTCTAAAGCCATTCTTCATCTTTTAGGTCATTGGTATCTCTGAAGAATCTAGTCCTTTTTTTAAAAAATTAATAAATGTTCCTCATTTGGGGCATGCTTTAATTTCCTCGTGTTAGATTTAGGCTATGCATACCACACCAAAATAAAACATAAATGCTGTCTGTTCTCAGGGCATCACCCCTAGAAGCACAGGCTCTCTCTCTCTGGCCCTCCTCTGTCATGAGAGTTGAGTACCTGGCCATGGTGATGGCAGGTTTCTCCACTAGAGAGTTTGCTGGTCCCCCACCCCAGCCTGCCCTCAGCTTCACCTCTTCCAACTAATAAGCAATCTGTGGGGAAAAACATTAGACCCATGGAAATATGCTCCTCATCAAACTTTCCCATTGATTTAGCATCTATTAATGGTTCTTGATGGGATCGATTTTTAGCATAGTAGTTACAAAATGATGATTTCCTTTTTTTTTTAACTATTCCAGAACTTTCTCCACATTTATCAGTAGGCACTCAGCATCTTTTCATAAGCAAGAGCCTTTATTTGTATTTATGGTTCTATTATCTCGAAGAGTACATGGATTCCTACTTTTTTATGGTCTATAATTCATTATTGTCCTTAATTATTTTGGTGTTCAACTTGTCCCAGATTTGGCAGGGGGTGGGGGGTACTTCTTAAGCTGGTTTCTCTGTCCTTGTGACATACTCCATTATTTATCAGTGCACTTCTCCTGTCTTTCGGGTGTAATATGTTCCAGGCTCATCTTGATCCTGCCTCAGCTCTGGAATGAGGCATTTCTTCAAGGTGCTCTAGTTCTTCTTAGTGGTGAATGGTATTAAAGACAAAGATCCAGATGTTAGGTGTGTTACTTGCTCCTTGGGTGTCTTTGCTTCTAGGTCCTTTAAGAGAACAGAGCTAAGAAGCATATACATGCATGTATATATAAACATACATTTATGCTTACATATATGCATATACTTGAATATGCAGATCCATATACATATTTTTCATGACTCCACAGTGATGCCCACATTCTAATCCACACTACTGGATTGGGTCTTGCCTTGACCATTCCTCTTTGAGATGTCTTTTCTTCCAGAGGGAGAACCCTTGCTCCCGAAGAGCTGTATTTTACAGACACTTTATGAAAGTGTCCTCACCTCAGTACTCTTCCAGAAAGAGATCATTTTTCCATGAAAAAGTCCCCTGTTCCACAAAAGAAACTTTGAAAGACAATGTTGAGCAACGGGGAGTCTTTGTGTCACGGTTTATCGTGATACTTTAGGAATTGGCTTCCTGGGGATAAATAAAAGTAAATACTTGTCCATTGATATTGTTCAACTGGATTGTCACAGATCACAATAATGAACAGTAATGAAAATGTAAATACTTTGTATGCTTCTATGACTACTGATATAATCACAAAGATAATGTAAATATTTTGAGAGGGGGCACTTGATTTAGAATCTATTTTTATATCTCATATATAGATAGATACTACATATGTCTATTATTATTCCTCTACAGAAGGAAGACAGAGAAAGGAGTGAGATCACTGAGACTGAGTGACCTGCTAAAGATACATGTTGAATGTGAGGTATGCAGGATTTTGACATGGTTCACACGGTGCATACACGTGTGTCCTGGTGATGTGTTTAGTATTATAGGATTGACTGAATGTGTTTCTTCTTGCTCTCCCATGGCTAAACTAAAAGAACATTTTTTTTTTTTTGCTGTAAACATGGCTAAATTTGGGAGCAAAGACTCAGATTTAAAAATGACCGTATTTCAAGTGTGTCATTCCTGCTATGAGATGTAACACATTCAAGGAATGCGAATGAGCCCAGACCTGGGTTCACAAAGCAGAAGGACTCCAGGACTGGGAGATTAGTGGGTGTCTGGGAGAAGGGGGAGGGAGGCAATGCTTGCGAAGTTTCTGCTCATCTGTCCCACTAGAGCACAATGGGGTGTTGGGATATGATTCAAATAGACTCCAAGTTTCGAGGGGCAAAGGAGAAGAAAATGAACTTGCACCTCACCTGACCCATCACATGCACCATAGATGGTAACTTCGCAGAAGGGAAAAGAGTGTGAGGAATGTACAGGACACTCTGAGACTTTCTTGAGGTTCCAAGTGTATCATGGAAGAGAAGCCATAAATGACCTGTTCCCCGAGAGTGAAACGCATGATAATCTGCAAAGCAAACTGAGAGAGCCGCCTACCAAGGCAGGGGCTACACATAGTCAGGAGACTTACAGTGTGCACAGCCCACCTGACTATGTATGGTTCTTTGAGAATCACTGAGGCTTAGAAACTTGTGGGAATCAGATACACAGCCATTCCAATCAGGCATTGTGGGGAAACAGACTAATGGGATGTCTGCAGTTCGAGACAACACTCTCGGAAAAGCAAACATTAGGTCACATGCCACCCCCGCTAAGCTCAGCCCCAGCTGTTTAGTGTTCTGGCTCTTAGTCCAGGAAGAATAGTCAGAACACACCATTTAGTTCTGCAAACAGTAGGAGCAATTGTCTTCTCCATGGTGATATGCACAATGCTCGCTACATAGAAAGTATTCAACAGATATGCATCACATGGATGACTTAATATATGATTACCAAACGCTACCATAAATCACAAGCCTAAAATGTCCTATGTGGTCTAAACCGTTTGATTTTGTTGATTCAGCATTGTTACTACAAGTGATCAGAAAAAGTATTTTCCTAACATACCTGATGAGAACTAAAGTTGGTATATGTGGCTGTGTGTATTGTGTGTGTGAGCCTGTGTGCATTTCGCCTGTCTTGTGATATCTTCACATATGAGGTTACATCATAAAGTTTGTGGAAAAACAGAATTCAAAGATAATACAACTCCTTCCATGAACTTTTTCTTTTTCTTTTTTCTTTTTTTTTTTGACTGGTAAGGGATTGCAACCCTTGGCTTGGTGTTGCCCGCACCGCGCTCAGCCAGTAAGCCCACCGGTCATCCCTACATATGATCCAAACCCACAGCGGGAGCGCTGCTGCGCTCCCAGCGCCGCA